TGTTTACAACATTCCCACTGAATCCACAGGTAAGAGTTTGGTCAGACATTTAGTACCACTTGATATCCATTCTCTCCCCTCTGATTAAAGAGGCATGCTGTCTTTTCTGTTTTTTACCACCAGGATCAGCTTGGTAGTAAAAATGTTAAGAACTTAACTAGAATATTTGAAATTACACACACAAAATAGATGGCCTCAGATTCTTGTTGGTTTCCTCTGGCACAGATTAATGCCAAATTCCCAAGCGCCAGAGAAAATGCAATTTTAGGGAAGCTTTGGAGTTTTAATCATCTGACAGCAAGTGATAGACTTTATAAAATTCTCACAAATATTATAAAAAGAAAAACGATACAAGTCAGGGAAAACCAGCCTGTTTCCACAATATTTTACTAAACACTGTGTCTTAGAATATTATGTTCAGCACGTGGAAGCTGGCAGGGAAGAAAGTGTGAAAAAGAAAGGTTTGCTAGGGAGGCTTGAAAGCACCAAACACCCTTTGTTCTACTGGTGCAACTGAGATCCTTTCCTTGGGGAAGAAAAAGCTGCTTCTGTCCTCTAATGCTGACAATAGCAGCAGAAAACAGAATGATTGTTACTTATTAAAGCATCCAGGAAACTATGCTTGCAAAAATGAAGGTCACTTTGCAAATCTCTGTGCATGGTAATCAAGATTATTCTCTCTTTTTTTTCTTTTTCCTTTTTTTTTTTTTTTCCATTTTCAGACGAGGGAGGGGCTAGAAGTTGAATTTGTATTGGAGAGCATGTAAGTAAAATCTCATTGTTATGGGAGTAAGAGTGGTGCCTCAGTGCAGGGAAACCTTCGGTACCCCCCATGTCATCTTAATGGCCAGATTCACCCTTCTTCCAAACTTAATGTATGCATTAGCAAGTTGTTGTAAGAAAGGAATATGCCATGATGAGGAAAATTAATTAAGAATGTTAAATTCTGTGGCTTTCTCTTAAAATGTATATATTACTCACATAGTTCAGATTTGGCTGACTGGGGCTAGTAAATTCCACTGCTGCAAGTTTATAGATTTGCTGGAGATGATTCTCTGGGGAGGTTATGGCTGAGGAGAATGTTGCTACCCAATCTGTGACATATCCATGCTATTAAGGCTGTTACAAGCACTTTCCACGTGCTTCATTGCAACTGAATCACTTCTGCTAGGTAGCTATGTTATGTCTAGTGAAAAGGGAACAAACCTGTACATACAATTAGAAGGAGCAAATTTAAAAAGAAAAAAAAAAAAAGAGAGAAAAATGAGTCTTGTTCAGGACAGTATCCAGATTACATTGTTTATAAAATATGTATTATTCTTGTTTTCTAGCTGGGGTCCTTCTGAAACCCTCCTCACAAATGGAGCAATCGTGGTAAAATATCATTTGCTTTGTTCTCTCGCATTCTTTCCCACATCAATCCTTACCCTAGTTGACTATCATGGTAGTGGGGCACATTGCAAGTCTTCATTCTTTAGTGAGTGATACTCTCTTTTAGAAGCTTTATCTTTCAGGAGACCAGCATGGCCTCAGGGGAGCCTTCAAACTGCTATCATTTTCCCTTATTTTGTATTCATCCATTGAAAATTACATGATGTTTAGCATAGCACCATCTTCTCACATGACAATGAAGTTAATTCTCACTTTCACTGGGTATAGCAAGAAGTCTCCAACACAGTTGTCCCCAGATTCAAGCAGTGATTTTTCCCACAATGACCCCACCAGCACCTACCAGGACTGATGGTGAAATGGCTGGATGAGTAATCAAGTTCTCTGTCCCCATCCTGTCTATTCTAGTGTCGTGAGGCAGCCTGCTTGGAAGTACACTTGGACGGCAGGATAAAAAAGAAGCACTTTTCAGGTAAGCTTATTATTTCTTTAATTGAATATTAGAGCTTTTACTCTCTCTGACAATGCTTAGAAATTGCATCATCACCCAAATACTAAGGCTTTAATTGACCACATCTAAGGCAATTTGTAAAAACAAGCAGTAGGGAATGCCACCCATTCTGTAGCAGGTTCAGGGTTCTGACTTCATGAGAAGCCTTGTGCCAGCCTAGAAACAATATTAGATGTTTGTACAGAAGGTATCTAAATCCCAAGCTGAGATCCTGAAAAATTCCGCTGTAGTACTGCTAAACCCTGCAGAATCTTACTTCCTTAAGCACAATAGTCCATATCCTTAACTTCCCTCAGGATCTCTGACAGTTTGACTTTTGCATACACACAGAAACACCTCATTTTTTGCAGGGGTTAGCCACTCAGCAGCTGGCTCCTGCCTGGCCCTGATCAAGATCCAGAATCTAGAAGTTCCTCTGCACACATCCTCTGAGGGGCTGGATCTGGTAGGCAATCTGAGAGCTTGCATAACACACATTGGCTGATCTCTTCATATAAATAGGGTCATCTGCTGCAGAGTCAGATCTTATTTTAGGGGACTGAGAATTTCCATTGCTCGTTAATTGTCCTGGGGTAAGGATGATTTACAATAGAAAGCATCTGGTTGCATTCACTGTGTTGTGATGCAACTGCAATAGAAGTGCAGCAGTCTAAAATTTGGTGCTGTTCACATCACACTCCCAGCTGGCTTCTTCTTCAGCTCGTTATAAAGATACAACCACCTGTAAAGTTTGGGTCTTGGATCACTTTTAGAAGATAGCTTTCCAATCACAAAGCAGGAGGAGAAGGGGTTTGTTCAAAACTCTTTTGCTTCTTTTTTCCCTTCTCTCTTTTTTGCAATTAGAAGTAATTTTTTTTTTGTGCATTTTATCTTATTGTTTTAGAGAATGAGCTAACATTTACAGTGAGAGGATCCTTTGAAGAAACCCAGAGAGTTTCAGTGGGCTGTGACTCCTGCTCCCCTTCCCCAGATCCCACTTGTTTCCACTATGCTAAATACAAGCAACCCTCCCTGGATGTTGTACTCACAAAGAAGAGGAGGCTTCCCACCTTTGTACGTTGCCCCAGAACATGGTAGACAACACAGACAGTTCTGTGATCTGACCTTTATGTGTGAGTAGGCGGCAAGAGGAGAACATTTCCATCTTTAACCAAAAGCACTCTGTGCTCCTTTTCAGTGTGCTTGCATGTCATGTGGAGTAAGAAGGAGCAGAGACATCCCCTTGACTCTCTCTCTGAACTCGCTCCCATCTGAGCAGGTAGTAGTTGGTGAGGTAAGTGTCTGCTGGACATGGGCTTTGCAGGCTTTTAAAAGCTGTTGCTAGTTCCCAAGAAACAGGAACCAAAGGCCACATCTCTTTATACAGAGCCATTTGTTTTCCAACCTCCCTCAATTCTAGAGCAATGCATAATGAAGTAAATTATATGGAGCAAACTGAAATGGGAAATGTGGGGGAGAAGAGGGATGAAGAAAAACATTCAAGCTGTTGCTCATGCTCCTTCTATTGTCTGTGTCCTTAGCCAGGCTGGAGGTCACTGGATACTCCTGGGACAGAGGGGTGAGGCTGCATGCAGCCTGGCACACTGCCACAAAACACAAACCCATGCCACATTTAGGGGGTGCTTAGGCTCTTTGGCTTCCCCTAGTACCTCACACTATTGTGTGACAAACTTTACTGTTAGGAATCATGTTTTCTGGTGGACTCTTTCAGGGAGGTGAGGTGTAGCACTGCAGCTCTTCTCCTAATTTTTTGTGTAGCCAAGTAGTTCCAGTGCAAGCTACACATGAGTTTTCAACACAGAGAAGATGCAGACTATAGATTACAATACCAAAGTCTTAATTTATTAAATTGATGCACTCCTCTGGCTACTAATGACACATAGAGAGGAGAGCCTCTCTCTCACTGTCAGTTCACTGAAGTTCAGAGCTCTGTAGATGTAATGATTATTCAAAAGAGCTATGTCTCATTCTGAGTGGGGAAAAAGCAGTGTTTTATACAAAATATCAGTATTCATAATTTTATGTTTATAAATTACAGCACAGAAAATTTGATTTGCACTTGAAGGTGAAAAAATGGTAAGACATCTTATTTATCTTCCTTCTGTGTTTTCTCCCTCGGTTCTTTGAATTCAGATAGTTGTCAACCAGGTTCCAGTCTCTTTGTTACTGCCTGCATCCCAAATGCTGGCTCATCTTCATTTCAAGCTATAAAATAAAACAGACTCAGTACACTGAGTCTGTGATCTCAGTACAGAGATTTTTGGTGGCCAGGAGTTTATGTAATGGGACTATACAGTCAGTTAAAAAAGAAAAAATTCATAAAGAACGTGCCAGTTTTCTATTGATACTTTGCTGCACTCAGAACTACTTGCTAAGGGCCACTCTAGGCACTTTTTGATACCACTACAAATCATTGCCAAATGCAGATTTTCAAGAAAAGCAGCGTTTTTAAATTAATTGAAAGAAACCTTTCTGTTCCCCCCAAAAAAGGAAGAATAAAAGACCCAAGTCAGAGTGCCTTGCCACTCTAGGGTATGGGGGAGAGGGGAAACGTATCTGCATTTATTTTTTCATGTCTACTCAAAGAGATAAATGCACATTAACTCAATCAAGTGGTTGCTTATTCCCAAACCAAGCAAACACATTGTGTATTTTGAGATATATTTTATCTAAGGCCTTGGTAAAATTTATAAAATAAATGTTACATTATGTAGGACTTTCTATTCCCTTACAAAAGCAGATGCATCTTCTATTGTGCTGTTTAGTTGCAGTAAATATGCTGAGACAGATGTACAGTTTCTTCCTTACCACACCTAAGAACAATTTTCTCAGCAGCTTCCAAACTGCAACTGTAATAGTTGTAAATATCCCTACATTACTATATACACGCACACACACAAACACCCCAAAAGAAAGCCCAAAACATCCCAATAGGAAAGTCCACACTTCAATCCATGATTTGCAGTTATGAGGGGAAGGCTGGACAACTTGTGAAACTGCATTTAAAAGCCACTTTAAAACACTGCCCCCTGCAGGCTTTTGGCTTTATATCTGAAAAGCAACAATTCTGTTATTCGGAGCCATACTTAATTTCCGGCATCTTCAGCATGAAGAAAAAATAAAACCCCTCCCAGTCCAAAGGAAGACAGACTGTTGATCTCCAGGAACAAACTAAAACATTTCATCACTTCCTGCTTTGCTTTATATGACCTGATGGTGAATCCATGTCTGTTTATGAAGTAGAAGCAATTAAAATACTGAATTAGACCATAAATGTGATGTGAGATACCTGCTCCTGTGTTCCAGCCAGGAAGACCTAGATGTACGCCTGGGGTTTGACCTGTGTGCCCAGGAGCAGGATTTCATTCGCAAGAGGAAGAAGGTGGTTGCAGCAGCTCTGAAGGACATTCTCCAGCTGGAGGAGGACTTGCAGGATGATGAGGTATCTAAGACATAATTGTTCTCTGCTTTCTGCACAGATGAGCACCAAAATGTAGCATTTGTTTTCGATTCCCATTTTTCTGGAAACGATGTAAAGTTTCATGTGCAATCTAGGGCTGACCTCTTTATCCTAGGGAAGAAATGGGTATTCATAGGGAACATTAACAAAACCTTGTAGACCTGCTGCTACTGGATCTAAGTTTGTGTTGAGTAGTAGACTGCACAATAATGCAGAGAAAGGCTATGTCCTCTCAGGACCAAAGCCAAAGCTTATTTTAGGCCTCACAGTCATCTCTGCCAGATTTAAACCATTGATTCAGCATTTATTTCCCTCATGGTTCAAACACAACTTATTTTCTGTTCCTTTTGAACTGGCATTTAGGCTCCCGTTGTGTGAGCACAGGACACTGTCAGTCTGTCTTCATCATCTGCTGCAGCTGGAGTGTGCACTTGCTTGGAAAATGGGAATTGTAACAGAGGGTCTGAGGCAGGGAAAAATCAGTTTTTTCTTTTACATTTTAATCCCAAGACTGCATCGTGAAGCCTGGAGTCATATGCAGAGAAGACAATTTTTCTTCGTTTTCCCCTTAACTGAGCTCAGCAGGTTTTTTTGCACAGCTGGACCTTTCACGCACAAGACCTTGCCTTTAAATGCCAGCGCTAAGCTGTGGGCCATTTCCTTCCCCTCAGATGTAGAGACACCCACACTTCCCTGCAGAACGAGTGCCCTAGAGTTCTCTGATTATCTGCGCTGAACTACGAAGACAGCACCTCAGTGTTCTGGTCTATTGCATCCAATAAAAAACTGGTTCAGATGGCAGGAAGTACTATTTGCTCTGGTTTTTTGCTGGTCTGTCTTACTGGTTTTGCAACAGAGTTCTGAAAATATGACATTTGAGATGATGGATTTCCTTTCCTAATGCACAGCTGCTTGGCACAGGAAACATGAGGCATTTTGCACCCCTTCTATGCCCAATTATTAACTCAGGGTTTTTTTCTCCTTGCAGACAGGTGGCATGCAGCACCTTTATTACTTTATCAGTGATGTAAATTTCTCTTTTCTAATGAATTATGTCTGTCTCCCTCCTCAGACCATGACACTAAATGTATGTATTTCTGGATTTAACAGGTACCTGTGGTGGCAATCATGACGACGGGTGGTGGAACCAGAGCTCTGACAGCCATGTATGCTCATCTTCTCAGTGTCCAGGAACTGAATGTCCTGGACTGTGTCTCATACATCACCGGTTTATCTGGCACAACATGGTAAGACCAAGATGAGCAAAGTCTTCACAGAAATTTTCTATGTGTGATGTCAAGAAGTGATCTGAAGAGTGGTATCATTTTTACTATCAAGAAACATCTTTCTTTTTCTGCTGTGGCTTTTTCCTTGTTTCCTTTGGTGGGTATTTGGCAGAATTAATTCAGTTACGATTAAACACATGAATAGTACCACACATGCATGTGCATGTAAATCAATAATGATAATTTCCCAAAGATCTGCTTCAGAAGTCACATTTTTCCTTGTGTTTCTTCTCTCTTTTTTTTTTTTTTTCCTTAGGACCATGTCCAATTTGTATGCAGATCCTGACTGGTCCCAAAAGGATCTTAAGGAAACACTCAAAGATGCCCGAAAGCATGTGCTCAAAAATAAGTTCTTAACTTGTTTTGCCCCCGATCGTCTGAAATACTATTTGAAAGAGCTGTGCCAGAGGAAACAGGAAGGACATCAGATGTCTTTCACAGATCTGTGGGGACTCATCATTGAAACCATGTTCCATGAAAAGGTACAACAGCAGCATCTTCCTCTTCAGATTTGCATATTTAGTGATTATACAGGTGAAGGCAGACAGTGAGTCAAGAAATTCTTGAGACTGAAAGGGACCTCAAGCAGAGTCATCTAGTCAGCTGCCCTGAACCGTGTGCTTTTGAGTATCTCCACATGTGAAGATTCCACAGCTTCTCTAGGCAGTATATGCCAGTGTTGGATCATCCTTACAGAAAAAAAATGGGGATTTTGCTTGTTGGGGTTTTTTTTTCAGATATATGCCTATAGCCTATGCTTTGGTGGCATCATTCTTTGCATTTGTTGGCTAATCTCAACATAACACCTGGTACAGAAAGGGTGGGAATAGAGAGAAATAACAGGAAACTTACAGTATGAACAAGTTTGAAATCAATTCACATGCAAATATTTAAATGAAAATCCTACTGTTCTTTTAAAAGGTCTGCACAGCATGACAAGGGAAAGAAAATACACAAACACAAAGATGTTATATCTGATTTGTTAATGGGACTCTGTCACCCTGTAAATGTTTCTACCAAAAGGCAATGTTCAGGCTCTGGTTTAGTACTCATTAATATTTCCTTTCCAATAGGCCACTTCTTAAGAAAGAGAAAACCTTTCCCCTGTAATATAAGTAACTCCACACACACACAAATTTAACTGCCCAAGCAGAGCACAGTGTGAGAGACATCCTGGTCGTGGCTCAGCAGGGAGCTGTGAGCATCCATCCCTGCAGTGCAACAGCCCTGTCCCAGGGGAAGTCTAGTGGCACAGCCACCAGTCCAAGGGCTGCTTCAGCAATGGGGAGCACCTGCAGCTCTCCTTCCAGGGGGATCTCAACTCAGCACCCTTTCAAACCTTGGCCCAGATCCCAAACCCTCTTGCCCTTTCCACCCTGCCTGCCTACATAAGATGTTCTGCAGCAGAAGCAGTAAGGGTCAAGGCTCACCAAATGGTAACTCTGTCTCAGGCTTGGATCTGTGACTGGACTGAGAAAAAGATTATTTTCTGGGCAGTCAAGACAGGGCTTACTCTTTCTGAATAAAATATTCCGTACCAAGAGTGCTTTTCATATGATTCCAGACATTTTCCTGAAATAAATAATGTGAATAAGAACATTTTCTTGCTACCATTGAAATCCCAGGGGTTTTTTTTCAGCATATGAACTTAACTTAGGACTATTTGTGTGCTGAAGTGTTGGGGCTTGCGAGGGTCAGAGATAGGGATGATAGCACCTCTCCAAACTAAACTGGTGGGAAACATCCTGGTTGGAGTCCAGAGTATTCTCAGAGCCTGAGCGCAGATGAAGTGCAAGGCTCTTTGTGCCATCTAACTGTCCTCAGCTACTGCCCTTCTTTAAAACAGGAGGACTGTCATAAGCTCACAGATCAGCAGCTGGCACTCAGCCGGGGTCAGAATCCTCTGCCCATCTACCTCTCTCTCAATGTGAAGGATAAAATCAGCGACCAGGATTTTAGAGGTAATAATACTACAAAACTGCATTTACCAGTGAAATCCAATAGCGGTCAATTTAGAACTAGGTAAAGAAATCCGTTCAATGCACAAATCCTCTAAAGGGCCAATTCACCTAGGAGTAGAATTTGAATAGTTAAATTTTTGAACATCTTTTATAGGCAGCTGTATTCAGGCTCAAAAGCAGGATGATGGAGGACATTATCATGAAATTATCTGCTAAATTGCCTCAAAAGCCTAAAGTTTGTAGAGAAATTGAGATGAAAGAGGACAATTTTCTCTTCATGTTTGACACTGTGAAATGTACAGTGAATAAATGTTTGTTTGCAAAATGCATTAGTTAGAAACAAGTCTATTGTAAATTGGCCAGTATCATACTTTTTATTCAACTATGACAACTATGCTGCTGTCATCAGTCTGTCTTCTGGTTTTTCTTTCAGAATGGGTGGAATTCACACCTTATGAGGTAGGATTTCCAAAATATGGTGCCTACATTCATACAGAAGATTTTGGTAGTGAGTTCTTCATGGGTCGCCTGATGAAGAAAGTACCAGAATCCAGAATCTGCTTTTTGGAAGGTGATTTGTTGCTCCCTGGAAATGTAATGTAAGATAATCCACTCCTGCACAAACCTCTCTTCTGAAATGAAGCAGTTAGTATATTTTCTTACCTGCCAGGAGCAGTGTATGGTAAAATACTGGAACTGATAACAGGCCATTATCAGAAAGTTTTTTTATGTTCTCTGCAATTTTATTTGGGTGAACAGATTTATTTTATTTCATATGTGGCTAAGCCTACTGACATGAGGCCTTCACAATACTTTTGTGTCTTTGTCAGCAACAAAGTTGTGTAAGATTGCATTGTTCCGCAGTGTTCCAGCCACAGCTGACCCTGATTAATTCTCCAGGATAACACTTCCATTTCAGAAGTGCAAAACCTGAAAACATTTTATAATATTTAACATTTTTCCCTTTTGCATAAAACTAGCAGAAGCAGTAAGGATTTTTATTTTTTTTTCCCCTTTATGAAAGCAATCTCTTGCCTCATTGTGCTTCCTGCTTCTACCAACTGCATAAAGGAAGTTTCAGGGGTTTTGTGGTAAGACTATTTGTCTGTGTGGAGAGATCACTACAGCTAGTGTAGCTAGAGGTGTAGGAAGCAGTCAGAATCTCCCTGTCCCCAGCTGAAATTTCAAATTTACCCATGTCTCCCCTTCTGTGGTCAGAAATGCCAGCAGGTCACCAGTCCCTTTCCTACACCTTCCACCTTGGCACTGTCTTCTTCCCTTCTCCACAGTGACGCTGGGACATTTGTGTCCCCGTTACCTGCCAATGATCCAGAGTTGCCTCATTCAGGCAGAGTTACTTACTCCAGTGACATATTTACTTAAGAGGTTTTCAGCAAATTCCTTTTCACTCCAGCCGGGAACAGAGCTGAAACTGACTACATAGGTCATACAGCTCTTTTCTCTGTGGCCAAGCCCATCCCTCCGGCTGCAGGCTGGCTTGGCTGGGTCAGGCTGCTCACGTACAGCCTCTTCTGCCCATTATCCAGTTCCTCTCCAGAGCACCAGTTTTAGTTCTGCAGTTTGGAGGGTTCTGTAAGGCATCATGGCACCCTGGCGGCAGGTGACTGTACCAAGTATCGGTGTTTCCTCAGCCTGTAAGACAATTGCATATAGGTGGCAGTTTGGGCTACATCAAGTTTGCTACATCTGTTACTGGAGGAACTTGAAAAATGTAGCCCAGGTATGCCTTAAATCCTCAAAATTGGAAGACAAATGAAAAACTTCATACATCTACACTCTCTATTTTCAAAACCTTTAAGTTAGCTTCCTTATTCTGAGGGATATTAGTAGATGCTTTGTGGTTGATGGTTCAGGACAGATGCATAGAAACAGGGTTATCCTAGAAATAGATAAAAGCTTTAGAATTACAAATGCTGAGAACTTGCAGAATAAGAAATTTTGAGGCGAGGTGGATAATACTAAGTTATACTTGACAAAATGTTATTTGTGAGGTAACAAAAATGAATGTGTTAGCAGCTATACTGAAAACACTACCAGCCCTCTTCTTATACCCAAATAAACCAGATTATCTGTATACACTATGGATTCATATGTCAATTCATAAAGACATTCCTTTATAGTTGTGCACTAAGATAATGTAATGAATGAAGTTTGCTGGAGAATCCAGAAGATACTGAAAGTTACTGTGAATGAAAACACTTCCAAGTCTTTATCAGTTTACTTTCTGTCAAATACATCTTTTGCCACAGGGATCTGGAGCAGTGTATTTTCCTTGAATCTTATGGATGCTTGGTATTTATCTGTTCAGTCAGAAGACTTCTGGCACAAATGGACCCGAGACAAAATTACTGACATAGGTGGGTCATTCTTATGGCATTATGCTATTTTATTGTCTCTTAAAAACAAACAAACAAACACAAAACCTCCAAAACAAACCAGGTGTTTTTTTTTCCTCTCTGCTCCTATGCTCTCATTGCATTTTTTCAAAGCCATTCTGGAATTCCCTATTCAGGGCTTCCTGCAGTCTACATGGAAACTAGGAGGATATTAATGCCATGAATTACAGCATAGCAATCATTTCATTTGTGTGAGAAAAAAATCCATGGGATCTGACACAAGGGAAGAAAAAAAAAAAAAAGAGAGAGAATGGCCCATATATGAACCATTTTCATTGCACAAGGTTAAAACTGGAAAAAAATATCCCTGTAGTCTAGGGGAGGCCTCCCCAAGTGATCCACAGCCTTCCAGTTCCTCTCTTGGAAGCTGGAACGGCATGAGGCTTCACAGGAACAAGGGCAATCACTATCTTTGCCTCCTTGGAGTCTACAAAGCACAGATACAGACTTCAGAACTATTGCAAGCTGTTCCAAAGTAGTCCTAAGGATAAGATTTGTAAAACACACTGCCAAATTAAGGAAAATCTGCAGGGTAGAATTTTAAGAAGAAACACACAAGACAGATACACTACAAAGAAAACAAAAGTTGAGAAGAAAGAGAAATGTATCAAAAAAGGGTGATTTATTTTATCTTCTTGCACTTTTAGGGGATAGTTTCTCATTAAAACAAGGAGCTTGCATTTGCTAGTAAGGAATGTTAATTACGTTTGTGTGACTGAGAGATTGTGATTGTGTGGCTTTTTTATGTGTGTGGCTGAGAGATAACCTGTCACATGGAGTAGCAAAGGAAGACAGGATAAGTGCAGGATGTTGTAGTGGATCAGATCATAGAAAAGCAAAGACAGTTGTAGCAGATGAGATGGATTAATTTACAGTACAAACAAGGCCTTTGCCACTGTGGATTGAGAAGAAAACATGGATTTTTTCAAAGCTTATCTGAAAAATTGGAGAGATTTGGGGAGATCTTGGAGACAAAAAGATAAAGATGTTTAAGTTTTGCCAAGCATGTTAAAAGAAATTGTGATTGCACAGATTAATCTCTACATAGGGGACACATACAAGAACTGTTTTCTTTCTTCTGCAGATGATGGAACTCTATTGCCTGCAAGACCAAATGAACTGGACACTCGAGTGGTTTGTCCCACCGACAGCTTTTCAAACATTTTCCGAGATGTTGCCATGTTACGTCCAGCAGCCTCAGAAATCCCTAACTTCCTGAAGGGCTTCCAGATGAACAACAACTACCTAGAGAGCAAGTTTTCCAAATGGAAAGGTATGGTATTAGTACCTTGGCTTTAGTTACATTTTAAACCATCTTTGTGAAAAAGAAGCAATGCTGATTATCAAGCTGACTGCCTTTTCATTCTGTTCCTGTCCTCTGATAGTATTTGAAGCTGTTTCTTACTGAAAGCTTAAACTAGCTAGCAGGAGAGGCTTCAAAAGCAAGGTCATAAAAATTTCATGGAGACTGGCAACTGATAGATGCGAAAGACCCTGATTAATCAACCAGTGTGCATCTACTGAAGTGCCAGCCACCCAGCCTGCACATGTGTGACGTGGCACTGTCGTCATGTTGTCTCTTGCCAAGTCCAGTACTCAAGGGCTGTGTGACAGAGGCCTGTTTCATGTCACTGTTCTACTTATAAGATATAACCTCTGTAAGAGCATTTCCTGCTACACAGTTTGGGAATAAGTACTCAGTTTGGTACCAGGTCCTCCGTGTCACACAAGGGGTTATGCCTGCCTCAGCTAGGTACCTTAGTAGCTGTGTGCCTGTTCTTTTAGTGTGCAAGGCAAAGGACATCTTTAATCTTTAATATGCTGAGACAATGAGATAGTGTTTAAATATTTTTTATATTAAAAAAAAAAACAACCAACAAAGCTGACCTGACCAGAATCACACACAAAACCAGAGATGGAATTAACTCTATTCTCCTGATCCCCAAGTTAAGCACTTTTAATTAGAGGAAAGCCAAAGAAATTGCAGAGTAAACAGTGAAAAGAGGAAGCTAGACAAGGAACTGAGAAATGGCTGAATTGCAGCTATTGGCTATGTAGGCAGGTCTAAGACCCGTGAAATGAAAAATTCTGTTTCTGTTAACAACTGACTTTCCTCAGTACACCTCTTGTATTTAGCACCACTACTGAAAAAAAATAAATAAAAAATGCTTCTTTCTAGACTGTGAGCTTGACACCCAGCCCAACCACCTGACAGCAGCAGCAGACTACCTCATCCTGATCGATACAGCATTTGCCTTTGCTACCAGTTACCCGCCCCTTATGAGGCCAGAAAGGAAAGTGGATGTCATTTTGCATTTCAACTACAGTTCAGGTTCCCAAACAGCGGTAAGCAGCCTCATCTATTCTTTACTGATATCTCTGTTTCATCACTGAGTTCCCAGAATGGCTAATTCTCTACTCACAGCAACTCTTTTTTTCCCGCTATCTTGGAAGTGTAAGTAAGCTAACAGTGTATTGGGGTCACATATCTCTATCAAACAGTAAAAGTGTTACCAGTAAATAAGCATTGAGTAAACTGTCTCTCTCCATTTTTATGTTTAAATGTGTTTTAGCTGATTTGAAGGCAGTCAGATGTTGAATGAATGACTGAAGCTAAATGTATTTTTAAATTGTCTTAAGAATTCTCAATCCAATAATATTCTTTTCATTGGGAAAATACACATTCAGGACAATTCAATGGTTACAATAGAAGAATCTGATGCAGAAGATCTGTTATGTTAATAAATGGAAACACAGCTTGTATTTAGGAACTTAAATTACATATATATAAAAAAAAAAAAAGTCCTCTATTGGCAGCATCTGCAATTCTCTAACGTGTAATGTAGATTTTCAAAGACAGGCATGTGGACCCAAATCCTTCCAGATCTTGTCCCCATATACAGTCTACAACACCTACATTGGGTACGTGCCATAATCTGGCAGAACTTGGCCCTTACACCACAAACATTCAAAGTCAGACTGGGTTCTGGTTAAATTCAGTCCAAAGGTTTCCCACATGTTCTGATGAGGTTTTTTTTATTTCTCCTATCGTGGCAACCAGCCCCTGAAAGAAGCCTCTAAATACTTCGCAAAACAGGGAATTCCTTTCTCTACAAAGGTGCCAGATGATGAGGAAACTCCCCATCTGAAGGAATGCTACATTGTTGGTGACAAAGAGAGCCCAGAAACCCCTATTGTGATATTTTTCCCTCTAGTAAATGACACCTTCAGGGACTACAAAGCACCTGGTAAGTGTACAGCTACACCTCACATTAACGGAGGCAGTGGCTGCCCTTTCTCTTCTCTGACTGTGCAATATCTGTTCTTTGGATCATCCTGTAAACACAGATTCAGACTCCTTTTGCTTAGATCTGATCCATAACAAGAAGCTAAAAATATGTGAATTTTCCCAGACAGTAGAGCAGCAGCTGAGCTCAGCCCTTGGCACACATACCCCTCCCTCTTCAGGCTGTTTTCTGGCTTTTATAGGTAGATTGTAGAGTTTCGTGATGAGAAGTATATTATGTTTATCTGCAATGGCAGACGTTAGCAGGGTTATTTCCTCTCATACTTGTTATCCTTTCCTGTTGGACACTGCTCTGGGGAATCTAAGGATTTCATTGTTTAAAATAATTTCAGGGGTTACAGTTAAGCAGATAACCTTGAAAACAAAAGCGTGAACTCGCGAAGTGATGAAAACGTAACACTGAGCTGTGTCAACAGCTTCTGTTCACTTCAGTGAGTCCTACTTGGAAATTTAAGAAGAGTTTCAATGGCAACTGTGCCAGTCACTTCAAGACAGATGGTTTCTAAGTCCTGGTACCGTATCCCACAACTCCATACTACCTCTGTTGGTGCCAAAAGTTTCAGTTACTCCTTCTCCAGATGATGAAATTCCAAAACAAATGCAGAAACTGCTGTCCCAATTGTATTAAATCTTTTCATTACTTTTGTTGAATGAAGTAATAAAAAACTTAGCATACTTTTGTTTGGTAGATATTCTAGATTGAGTTCATTGCACCTTTGAGGTAGCAAGTGGGGTTTTGAACAGGATTCAGATATTCTAAGAGTATTTATACAGGTATAGACACCATTCCACTCCAGCTCTTAACACAGATTGGATAGCTGAAAGGTTGTTTTTGTAGTTGTTCTTTGTAGAAAGAACTTGGGAAAGGAGAAAAGGAGAAAGAACTAGAACAGGAACTGAGAACTGGCTTTTGTACTGCTCTTTGAAGGAGTCTGCTTCCCCTTTCCTCCTCAACAATTTCCAGAACCCAGGGATGTTATTCCTAACTCATCTATCTACTACCAGGTGAACATCAGATGATGTGCAGAAGCTACAGGTCAACATAAATTATCAGGGAATCGAAAAAGGTGCATTACTAGGTATGCAGAAAATGTATATGACCTGCATGACATATTGAGGCATGCCAATGCTGCCTGACAGATTCAGCCAGCAGCTGCAAGCTGAGACTAAACAGAAAAAAGAGAACAGGTCCCTGTTGGGTGAAGTCTCAGATGAGCTGTCATGGAAGGGCTCAGCCTGTGGAGTTTTTTGGGAGTGCTGCCACCTCTCAGCTGAGAGCCAGCCTCCACAAGGGCAGCATGGTTGCTACAGAAAGGCCTGGAGGTTGGGAACAGATGTCTGCCCTGTGTTAGTGACAGGCAGAGATCAGCTTAATTTCTAGTGCTTCAGTACTATGCCCCAGCCCATACCTAGAATGTACAGTATCTGAAGCATTAGTTCAATTACATGAACAGGCAGTTTTTCCATAGTCAGCTCACCCATTAGCTTGTTCAGCAAAGGGAATTTGAAGCATTTGCAGTAAATTATTTAAACTGACATATTCAAACTCCTGTGCTGGTTAGACTCCACAGCTGGACTAGAAAGGGGAAGTCCTTTGTGTAAGGTGATTTAGACTGCTTATAACTCTCTCAGAAGAGTCCTGAGGACTACATCTATCAGACTTGGTGAATCTAACCAAATTAATGGATCTTTTTCCCTTCCAAGAACCTACTAACAAGTATAGATATAAGATCAGCCTGCTCATATACTGTGTCTGATCAGTGCAGAGTCAAACCTAAACTAATATGGCCAAGTGGGCTTCTTCCATTTTTGCTGAGTTCAGGAAGGGCAAGTTTGCCTCTTGTGCATTGAATTTATCAGTTAAACACACCCTCAGCTCAGAAGGTGCATGTTGCATCTACTGAGTTTAGCATACAGATGTATTTCCACCAACTCAGTAATTGACAGTGTGTCCAAAACACCAGCCAAATCAAAAACACTGGTGTTACTGTCTAGAGCAGATAACTAGGTCCAAGCCGAGATCAGATACTAATTTGATTACAGGTCAAATATGAAGGTCCTAGAAAAACAAGTGAGGAGATGTGTCTTATATCTGCTGCACACACAAATTTGTTGAGATTTGCAATTCTCTTGGGTATTTTTCTCCCTGCACCAGCAACTTACTGTGGAGGTCCCTGAGAATATTGACTCTGTGATAGTCTGCAGATAAATTCTGCATTAGCTTTGGATCTGGTTTCTACTGTCAAAGGCATTAAATAATAATTTAATTTGTCTTCAGATCATAAGATATGATGGATGTAATATTTCCAGAGATGACACTTACGGGATTGCCTGCCTCATTACATTGTCTGGATCTGATGCATATGTTGATTATCCTGGGATGATGAAATGGGCATGAAAAGCCCTTTCAGTACCTCTGTCATGTCTTAGCAATTCAGGGAATATCAGGTTCACTCTCACTGTTGAGGTTAAACAAAGCCTGTAGGGTTTTTTTATAGCAGTAGGATCTCAAGGAAATTACACTAAATATTTGTGCCATCTGCTTCTGGGGTATGTCCAGATGATGGCTCGGTGAAGTCTTTCAGTTTAAATAATAAAATCTAGGGGTTTAGCTGTTTTCTGTATTTTTTAATAATTCTTCCTAGTAGGAACCAAGAGTTGATGTAGCAGATTGTGCAAGGGAGTGTGCTAGGTTGTGCTGGGTGAAAGAATATCTGTCACATCAGTGAGAAAGCAGGTACACTTTTGGAAAGCTTAAATCACCCAAATACATGGATTTTCAGTAGCCTAATTCTGTAGGCAGGAAAGGAATATAAAATTATGTAGAGTTGAACATGGAAGGCACAAAATGTAGCAGTGGCTTCAGGCCCACCACCTGGAAAAAAAACCCATGGTGTCCTGAGGTCCTTGCTCTAGCTGGCTGCTCTGGAAGAAGGGGAGGAAAGAATAAAAGTAGTTACCATTTACTTGCACCTTGGCTAGAAGTGTAGGGTGCTGCAATGGCTGGGAGATGGCAGCAAAGTGGAGACTGGGAGAGCATCAATACTGAGAGGCACCTGGGGACCATGGGGACCATGATGACAGCTGATCCCAGAGCTAGAGAGGAGGCAGAGAGTCTCATCCTCCTGTGCTCAAAAGAGGAGCTACTCTACTTGTTTTGGCATTTCCAAGTGTACCCAGGACAACCTCAAATCTCCTCATCATCACCAGCTTCTCCAACTCACCACTGCCAAGCAAACATCCCAGCAATAAAACATCAATTTTGGGTTGTGATCTGCTGTGAGTGCACGCCTAAAAACCATCCAGAACCTAATCACTTATTGCTAATTAACTGACTAATTTTTTGTCCCTTAGGTGTGAAACGTAGTCCCTCAGAGATGGCAGAGGGTGAAGTTGATGTTGCCAATAGCTGTGGTCCATATTATATAAACAATCTGAGTTATTCTGAGGAAAATTTTGACAAACTGGTGAACCTAAGTTACTACAATGTCCAGAACAATAAAGACCTGATCCTTCAGGCCTTGCGTACCGCTGTGGAGCGAAAAAAGCAACAGAACAGAGAGCAACCACTGGGAAAACCACCCAGTAGGGGTGGTATGTGTATGCCTGATAGAGAGGGAACACAGCATTTGGCTGACTGCCCAGCACTGACGAATGTGAAATCAAATATCTATGAATCCTGTTAATAAAGAAAAAAAGGAATTTGATTAGAAGTGAGGAAAAGCCAAGGAATGCTAAGAATAGCATTTTGTTTGTCATCAAGAATGCTAAAGACTGTCTGTCAGTGAAGAGAATAAACAAAAACCAAAGCTCTTCCTTAACGAACTAATGTGCTTCCCTTGTTGACAACACCAGGAACATGGCTAGGTGAGGCTGTGCTCTGGTCATGCTTGCAGAAGAGACCTTTCAGGCCAAAGCTGAGGCACATGGACAAGGAAGTGTGAGGAAGTTTAAGCTGACTGTATTTGTGCTCTATCTGTGCTATAAAAAGATAGGATTGTTCCTAAAACAAAGCCAAGAAGCCCACTTTTTACTTTATGTCAAGACAGGAGTCTTTATGTGAATGTAAATAAATATTAAACTTTGTATAATAAAACACTTTTTTGGAGTCAGAGTTACAGCAAATAAACTTTTTTTTTTTTCACAGCAAATACATGTTAAAACCATTTCTTTTAAATGCGTCTTCCTCTACTAGAAAGGCAACTAGAAAGACAACATGCAGACCAACTTAACAGCTCCAGATAAAAAAAAGAAGGAATTAAGCCTGCTCCAGACCTTGATGTGCACTGTCCCAGGGATCCTGGGATCCTATGAGTTTAGGATTAGTTTTAATACCCATCATTACAAGAACTGACTCATGCTAATTCATTTTATTAACTTGAATTTAAATGTTATTGTTATATACCAAAGGTTTAAAGCTTGAATGCTTTTGAGAATATTACATCTGAATAGACACTAGAAACACAGTCAAGGCAGATCTAAAATTGTATACCTAATATCACTCACCCAAATGCTGTTTGTTTGTTTGTTTGTTTGTTTTTACTTGCTGTACAGCACTGCGACTGATATTAACACAACATTAACTTTCAACTTTCTGGCACTTTGGTCATCACATTAACATGGCTCCTTTCAAGCAAGCAGTTGGGTTTTTTTGACAGATGGAATCCAAGGTCTCTGTTTATTCTTTTTCTAAATTAATTTTTATTCAGTGCTATGGATTTATTATTCCATATCTTGTCTCTACAAGCCCATGTCTCCTACAGACTTCACTGCTCCTCAGTTCTCTGTAGTATCTTTTGTCCAGAGATCCTGTAATTGTGGGCCAAAAATGGAAGATTTACAAATCCCCTTGTGCTCAAGGTCGAAGGTCTACTCCTAGGTGGTTCATAAACACAATCCTTATGCTAACCGCTTAGGTCAGTGAGTGCTTACCTGTGGTGCATACTGCAGCTACTACATCCTGTATGCCCAGGGTTTGCCTCCCATGGAAACAAGAGAGCAAAGACAGCAGTGGTGCTGATGCATGCTGGATCTCACTGCAATATTGAATGGGATGTAGCCAGAGGGCACAGCCAGACCTATGAATTTGGAAGCACTCCCAGGTTCTCATATGCAGTTAGAGCTTTATTGTCTGAAGGGCAAAAATGATCCCACTGACAGCAGGAAGCATCTAGACAGGAAGTCTGAAGACTAGCAGAATGAGGTGTGTGAATGCAAAAACTTCCCTGCCCTTCCTGCAGCTTTCCAGCAGCCACCAAGGGGTCACAGAGAACAAGGAACACTTTACCGGGTTTCAAAAAGTCTACAGGGGAACATAAATCCTTATTTTGTATCTGAGTCCTCTCTATTCAACACAGATACATAGGAACATGTCAGGGCTGATCAAAGAGGTAAAAGAGCTTCCATGACAGGGGTGAGTAGATAAGGAATCTGCAACCTAGAAAAAAGACAGCAGGAGTAAAAGGCAGAGAAGAGAGAAATTTGCAAAATCTGGGGTGCCCTATGGGAGACGAACAGGCAGTGACTGTGTACCTCTCTTCTAACACAAGACCTGGATGAGATCAGACAAATCTAGCAAGCAGCAGGTTCAAAGTTAACCGAGTAAAATAACCCAGCATGTAACACATCACGAAGTTACAGACCTCTTTGACCCTGTCAGGGTGTTGTTGATAAAAGTTTGTGAGTTAAAAAAAATCTGATCGGTGCATTCACTGGAAATTTTTTTAAGGACTAAAAAGTACAAAGACTTCACATTTGCCTCAGTTCTGCATTCAATCATCAATCCCTGGAGGCTGGGAGGACAGTCTGAGACAGCATTGTACCTGCCCTCTTTCTGTGATGTTCCTCAGTCACTAAATACTGGATGGATCAAAGACAAGTGGGAAAGCAGCATCACTCCAAACTGCAGTACTTAGGTTTTCCACAGCTCAGATACTTTTGCAGATAAATAATCAGGAGTAGTCAGAACTCTCAAAGACGTGGTGATACAAGACTAATTTAAAAGACATAATTGAAGTAAGACAGAGAAGATGTAAGGAACTGCAAGGATAACTTAATTACCTATGGATTAACCTATGGGGAAAAGTCATGAAAATGAGAGGAATGCAAAACTGAACTATTAAAAGGGGATTTTAAAAAAATGAGGAAGCCATTCAGCAAGACCTTACACGAAATGGCATCAAATCTTCAGACTCAGCATGGAAATTGCAACAAAGGGGTTGCAAAATACGTGCATAGCCCTAAATAAAACGTGAAGCAAAGAACCAGGAAAAGGCAGAGTGCTTAAATGCTCAGGACTGAGCATTATTAAAGCTTAACATCTGTTATTTGAGGAACGGCATGGGAAGGAGAGAGATGGAAATGGCACATCTAAACCTGCTGATGTATCTGGAAGGGCTGCAGCATATCTATTTTTCTAATGGAAATCAGAAGTAAGAAAGACACATACATAGCTAAAAAGGTGAAATCAGTAGATGTGATGGGCCAGCAAAAAGGGATTTAAATGCAAAGGAGTCAAGGCCAGAAGTGTGTAATACAAAAGAGAATTTCTAACACTTCCAACATGTTTAGTCACAGATTCAGCAAAAAATCCGACTTCTCATTTGGTTTGGTTTGGTTTGGTTTGGTTGGTTGGTTTTAAATTGGGAGCCCAAGCTTTTGTTTTCTAAGTAGTGAGTGAGAACAGATGAATTTCTGTGTTGGAGAAAAAAAATATTTACAGATTTCTTCAACGTTCTAAGGACTATGGCATTGTATTCCATGAAAATCTCTTGCAAAATCAGCAGAAAATACGATTCTCCCACGTGTCTTAACACAGTGTCAAACCTAAGGCTAAAACTAACGGCTACATCTGCTACACACGTCCCGGAGCAAAACTTCCATGTTCTAGTAAGAATTTTCACCGTGCTTCAGAGAGCTGCCCGGTGCGGTAGCCACCCCCGCGGTGCTTAGTCACCCAGCTCTGGCATCCGCAGCCTTCATCATCACAAAAACACGGCAAGCATTTGGGCCGTTCTACGCGGAGGCCTGACCTGTCGAAGGGCTTCTGGATTTCATGTCAAGGGGCTGACATTTTAAGAGTGGAAGAGCAGCAGGTACAACGAACCTGCAGAGGCGGATCTGTTGTCTAAATAAATAAATTAAATCCTCCTGGCTCTGAAAAAAAATACCCCCCCCCAGCACCCTCCTGCCCTCCCGCCTGAAAAAATAACTCCGAGGAGCCCACCAGCCCCCCGGTGCCGGCAGGAGGGCGGGGCGCGGGGCCCATCCCCGCAGCTCCGCGGGCCGCG